CTTTTGTTCTCTTCATTGACCATATAAAACAGAACATTTTAGATTTATTTGATTCTTTAGTCATCCTCCCATGTAGAGAGGTCAAGTCAATGAGGACTTAAATCAGCAACTTTCGAATCAATCATTCTGTACCAATGATCAAAATCCTTCTAACTAACTGTTTTTAGTTTCCCTATGGAACCATTATCCAGAAAAATTATCTCCTGAAATCTCAAATCAACAAAACAAACAGCTCAATCCCAGCAAAATCGGATCAGCAATAACACAAATCGGAGAAGAGAACAGATTAATTACTCGGTCCCCTTGAGGCGAAGGATCCGGAACTGCTCCGGCGAGAGGACCGCCCTCCACTCGTCGTCAGATTTATGAACTGAATCCGTCGACGCCATGGCTACACCAATCCGCCTGTTCCTGCAAGGGAGGCAGTAGAACCCTTGACCGATTCCAGCCTCTGTAGAAGAAATCAATGGGAAAGCAGTGGCCTTTAAGTGTGATCGGTTGCGGATTAAGTTAAAACGGCGCGAAACAGCTTTCGAGCTGGTGCGGAACGGAATGATTAGGGTTCTGTGAGGAACAGGGAATGCGAATGTGAGCCTCGTGAGCTGAAGGATGCCCATTTCACTTAACTGATATATTTTTTTTTTTATCTTTTTCCCTTCAATCTAGAGGTTTTCTTCCCTTATTTTTCTTCTTTGTTTCCTTCTGCCATTTATATGGGGGGAATGCGAAGCCAGCGACGGGCCTCTAAAGCAGAATTATTAGATCCTACCACTGGGGATGCAGAGTAACATTCGGTAGGCAAAATGATAAAAAACTCGGTATATTTTGGTATAGGCGCGATTTTACCTACGACCAAATGTTCCTCTACATCCTTACACCGAACCAAATAAAAGTTCCCTCTAAAGGCAGATGAAGCCCGGACCGGACGAGAGTTTTACATTTGTAATTTGTTTGCTGCAATTTTTTCGAGTTTATTTTTATTTTTTTATGACCAACACTGATTTTATTTTTAAGTGTGTTGATTGCAAAAAAAATCTTTAAATAGAGACTTTCAATATAATTTGTGAATTTTAAAACACATTTGAATATGACACAGTTGCATATTATGGTATACTGTTTTTTTCAAAAATAAAGTCGAATTAAAATTTGATAAATAGCTAATTAGAATTATATTCGAGCGGTAATAATTTCATTGACTCCTAAATATCATAATTCAAATATTTTGAGAGGGGAACAAGCCGAATGAATAAAGGTTGCTATCTTCCATCGCATAAGAGGCTTGTTGTGTGTATAACAGTCATGCTCCGTTGAACAATACTCATAAAGGTCTCATGTATCTGTTGACATGTAGAAGGTGGTACAAATCATATTCGTAATACATCAATAAACTCCTCCCAGTTGATAAGGGAGTTCATTCTCCCTTGAAATTTCACCTCATGCTGGCTTAGTCATCAACGCTCAACCTCTTCATCTAAGAGAAAAATAGCTAGAGGTATCTTCCTCTTAGGTGGACACTACATACTGTCAAATGTATTCTCCAACCTCAACCAATCCTCTGTTGTTTTGAGCTCAACATCATCCTCAAATCTTTGAGGCTTCAATCTCATAAACATATGTAAGTAATGATCTACATCATCAAATCAGACATAAGAAATCCTACTCTGTGCCTTGCTCATTAGCTGGGATATCAAACTAGCAAATTGTGTAATAATATTATAACTAACTGCATGAGTGGTACTCTATACGAGTGTTGCTTGATTGGCACTCTGCTCATTAATCCTATCTATTTCTTGTATATTTATAACCATATAGAACACACGGTTAAATATACACATGAAAAAAAAAAAAAGCAAAAAGGAATGCCTAGACATGCCCAAAACTATCTTACTTTGCTTACAAATCAAGTCATATAGCTCTGTTTTATGACTAGGTTTCCAAACAACATTACTCTAATACCAAAGAGGGGAAATCACAACCAAACCCAATAACACCCACAAACGAATCATGTCTAATCGTATTAACTTACATTTGGTCAGCCCAAGATTAGAGTTTTAGAAAACTTTTTAGAATTTATTTTTTCAGTTGAGCTTAAAATAAACAATAGACTACATAGCTTTTAATAACTTCTAATATATAGAAAATATCTCATCTATAAACTTTTCTTTTCATTTATTATCAAAATGTATACACAAAATTATACTAAGGACATGAGTATATAATAAACTACATAACATAGCAAGTTAAATAACTAGTCATTGGCTATATCAAAAGGAGAAATACATATACAAACTCAAGCAAATCAAATCCTGACTCGGCTATTCAATGGGTTCTTTCCCTTTCTCAGACCCTGAAATAGAATGTAAATAAAATGTGAGCCAATATAGCTGAGCAGGCCACACTTACAAATATAAACTTTCAAATTTTTATTTATTATATATTTGGCTGAATTTACAAGTAGTTTATAAAAAATGAAAAATATTGAGCATTTCATTACTTATATATATCTAAATTAAAATAAATTGTACACTAAAAGTAAATAAACATGCACTTCATATATCAGAACAAAAAATAATAGATTTCTCTCAGGTCCTTATATCTTCCATTAACATAGAATTAAGATAATTATGGCCCTTATGTGCTGACATATCAGAAATATACCCTTATGACTCCCACTTAACACTAGAACAAAATATGCATGTATCACCAAAACACAGTGTTCATGTAGCAACAATATGTGTCTTTGGTACCAGAATTTATGCTCAACACCAAATTGGAACTTCCTCCGCAACACACCAAGTCTCCTCATAATATCACATTTCAATTAAATAATTAAGTATATCATTCTTTTTATTACATCAAAAGAAATGTAAATGAACTCAATT